GACACCTTCCCCTGTCTCTTTGCGATAACCTTAGAATATTGTAATAATCCCCTCCTATTCTTTTAAAGCTAGCTCAAGTGGGTTTGCCACACATTGTCTCCAGCTAAAATAGATCCATGTTGATGACATATTTAAAATGTGTCCACCTGGAAAATGAAATCTGCAGACTAGCCAGTGTCAGGAGACAGGACAGCACAGAAAGGCAGCCCCAGGATCCTGCAGTGGGTTGCGAGCAGCCTCCAGGCCAAAGGGGATGCCGAGTCATCCGTATCAGTCATTCTCAACCCTGACTGCACCTCAGGGGCACCGGGAAGTTTCTGAGACATACTCCCAGGTCCCACCCTGAGATCCTGGTTTAATTGGTCTGGGCAGGCATCTTTATGCTGGCAACTCCCCCTGGGCAAGTTACATTATTCACAACACACAGAAATAAACAGAAATAACAAACCAAACAAAAGTATTTCCTCTGGAGAAGTACAGGAACAGTAATGAAGCTTCAGAAAGAAATTCTTCCCATAGACCCTCATTTTCAGGACACATGAGATGCAGTAAGTAATGTCCTCAGCAACACCGTAGAATAAATATGGAAGTGACTCTAAACGTGAGGCAATGGTTAACCCCAGAGCACCATTCAAGAGCACAATTTCATGAGGCGGGTCCAAGCACCCCTGCTGTCTGGCTTAGTTTGGAAGTATTTATTCAGCTATTTTAAAGATTTATTTTAGTTATATATGCACATAAGAGTTGGGTGTAGACCAGAGGTGGTGTGTGTGTGTGTGTGAGAGAGAGATTCACCAGAGACAGAATGGGAGCAGAACAGGCAGATCTACTGAAATACACTGCTGAGGGGAGCTGTGGGAGAGACAGGAGAGGTCTGCTGCACCATGTGGGTCAGCTTCCTGGCTGGGATTGAACTCATGCTGCAGTGGCTGTCATAGTCCTGAGACTAAACCTCTTGTGTCACCCCTTTTGGAGTATTTAGAACTCATGTTTACAATTGGATTCCCCAAGGTAACATCTTCCCCACCCTTTCCCCCCCACACACACCAAGAGGACCTGTAATTTTTATTAGCATTTCAGTGGTGATTCTGTGCACCCAAAAGTTTCAGAACCCCTGGAAGAGAGGAGTTCATGGACTGACTCTTTTTGACATTTCCCTGATCATACGGGAGTCTCTGGTCAGCTGGGTTTCCAGATAGACTCCTGTATGGGCACGCTGCATGGATACAGCTTGCAATGTTCTGACATGAGAGTTAGGCCAATTGGCCTGAATAGTCAGCAAGCGAGGTCAGGTTCAGTTCCTCTCAGGGAAGCTGAGGAGCCTGGCAAGGACACATGCATGAATAGAAAGCAAGGAGCCCTTAGTGGACCAGGATCTTTCTCAGGAAGCATTTGGGATACACCCCAGTGCACAGACCAAAAAGGGCTATTGCGCCCTGAAGTTCTCCCACCTGAGTACAACAGCAATAATTTCTGCCTGGAAAAAGTTTCAAACAGGTCGACCAAATAGCCATCTTATTCATAAAACATCTCTATAAACACCCATGGAACATTTAACCTTGAGAAATATAGTTTCCCAGCGCCCACTCCAAGCCAAATTGTCTGCAAAATATATGACTATGTGACTGAATTAGTTAACTTGCTCCTTAGGGTTACTGACCATAAGTCAGTTTAATGTCAGAGATTGTCTACCCAAAATGGTGGCTTTGGTTTAGAAACTATTAATCTGTAGTCCTTCTTTACAACATAAACTGATAGTAGGTAAATTCTCTCTTAAGGTCAGTCTTGACTCATCACTAATCTATGGTACATGAATAAATGAAGATCCTCTTTCAAATTTTTATGCAAAGGGGATGATGCCTTCGTCACTAAAGAGGTATCAACTAAGCAGAAGGCAGCACAAAATAAATATCTCCCTCATTTTCTTTGTAAATGCCATCTCATTCATCAAAAGATTACCCTTATTAAGTAGTTATCTAGACCTGGTCATCAAACCAACGGGACAAACCTGGGCATTGACAGCTTTTGTGTGTGTGAGATCTACAAATTAAAAAAAAAAAAAAGTAAGCATTTTTAACTGGTTTAAAAATCAAAAGAAAAAAAAAACACTTTGTGACATAAAAATAAATGAATTCAAATTTCAAAGTCCAATGCATAACATTTTACTAGAATTTAGCCATGCTTATTATTTTTTTTTTTTTTTACATAACATCTATGGCTACTTTTAATGCTTCAGTGGGTAGCAATGTAGCTGAGCAGTTGTAACAAAGATGGAAAGATCCACACAGTATTTGCTCTCTGACCCTTTAACAGAGATAGCTTGTTACGCTCCTTTGCTATGTGAAAATAAGCAGCGTCACATTGATGCCATAGAACTTTTGTTCACAGGTCAAAGGCTGAAAGTATGCCTAACATCACCAGAAATCTTACATTACTCTAATGTTACAATAATTAGTGACAGAATAATCATGTCTAAAATATACCTGTGTCTAGAATAGAACACTGACCTGAGAAATTCAAGTTTAAATTTTGATTAGAAAATGAGTATACAACTGCCACACCTTTAGATGAAGTGCCTAGTAATACTGGGGGATAAAAGGAATGCTCTTAAAATGTGAGCTACCACTTTTGAGATCATTTCTAAAAATTATTTCAATAGAAGGTCACAAATTAGTATGTGCCTAAAATAGCATGCCATGAGTATCCATGTTAGACACAAAGCTCAAAATCAGACTGACCATTCTGGAGCAGTTTTGGGCATGGGAAATTTTGCTCGGGTGCTTTATTTAGCTCAAGGACATTGTTTTCATCAACTGTATAAACAGTCAATGTGAGATTATTACCAGGTCACAGTCAGAAAGTGACTTGGGATCTACAAGGTTTGAGTAACAGACCTTTGTAAAGCTGTGAAAATTAAGCTTTCTGTCCCTTAATTACCAAACACATATCTCATGTAATTATGTCCTAGGCTCTGCTCCCACTGCTGGTTGCTGTGGTCGGTTTGGATCAATTACACCTGTAGAACAAGATCAAGGGGACTCTTGATCTTGCCTTTCTTTCCTGCAGGTTATTGTTTAACCACAGTCTAGGTGAGTAAGGATCTTATTTCCTAGGATATAGCATGGAGAGTGTGTCTTTTAAGTAATCAGCATTCTGCTTAGTAGGAAGTCAAAAAGGAGACATCTCTCTTGAGGCAGTGGATGCAAACTACAATAACCCCTAGATAGAAACTGGTCCCAGTAAGGGCTAATTGACTTGGGGAGGGCATATTTAAAAGCAGGGAATCTACCTGTGAGATTGGGGGACCGTTTGAGGTGGTCGACAGCTGTTCAATTCCCTCCAACAGGTGTGTCAGGTATACAAAGAACATTAGAATTCTGGGGAGGGCTGAACAGTGGTGGGTTTTCTAGATTTTCAGGGTGTGGGGGAAAGAAGAGGCGCAAGGTATAGATAGCTTTTAGGATAACTGCAGGAAAAGCTGTGCAACCTCCTTTCCTTACAGCGAGATTTTCTTTTGCTACCACAGCTAGAATTGCACATTCTAATTGTTTGTTGTAGGAAGAATGAAAATTATAGCATCTCTATATATCTACAAATATATATCTATACAAAGGGGAAATGAATAAGATTATTTCATTCTTGAGAGTATAGAAGATAAGTAGGTGGAGGCAACAATCAAAGAGCAACATACTTTTCAAAAGAATATAAATCACAATCAAGGCAAAAGGTTAGAACTTAAAAATAACAGACCAAAATGGATGCGATTTAAAAGAAAATGGAAAGGCTATAAGCCAACACAGTAAAAATTTTAAAATATGAAAGTAAATGAGATGAAAGATTAAAATAAAAGGATAAACCTATAAGATAAAATGTAAAAAGATAAAATTCACAAGTAGATGGGATAAGATTAGTGATATATTTAAATAAAATAATTGAAAACTTTTTATAATGAGAGGATAACTGAAAAAGAAGAAAAAGTAACAGTGGGGCAGCTACCAGCTAGAAAAAGTTAGGACGCGTCCTGGAGTGGCTGCAGCTGGTGGATCAACCCCCTAGAAGAGGGAACTCCTCCGAAAACGCCCTCACAGTAACACCCAGAATAATGTCTGACTACAACCCAGTCAAGATGACACATAAAAACGACTATCACTTTCTACTGTTTTCCTCAAGAAGTAGTCAGAAAACAGTGTTTTATTTTTATCCACTCGAGTTGTAGGAGAAATAGCTGGAGACTAATACATGCCAAACTCGTTTTGTGCCATTATGAAATTTGTAAACGGTGTTTGCACTGATTAGAAGCATCTTTCCGTTTAGATATTTTTGTATCACATTTTAAATATCCCACAATATTTCAGGTTCTTTTTTATATTGACCACTTTTTTTTTCATACAAATAAATGATCACACATTTGCTTTACCAGAGTCCCAGTGATGAAAATTTAGTCCTCATATTTTCTTTTAGGAGCCTTGGAGTAATGAACACCCTTGCTCCTATAGATATTAAAATACCTCTAGGAGTGTTTCTTTGTCCTAAGTTCCTCAAAGTGTCCTTTTAAAACTAAAATCTTCATATTAATGCACTACATTCATTTAATTTACATTTCTTTTAAATTTTAAAATTTTTTAATGAAGTATCCTTTGCTCACATCCTTTGTTAATATTTGACAGAGTGGGATTCCCCTCAGGGGTGGGCACCATGTCTCTCCCACCACTAAACCACCCGTGGCCCTTCGCCATCATCCATTGTGTTTCCTGCCATCCCTGCTTTCTCTTCTACCCAACCTCACCCCCCAGAACTATGATCATCTTCCAAGAGTACGTTTTAATGATTTGAATGACAGTTTGTTGCTTGGCTGTGATGCAACAATAGCATATTTTGTTTATAAATGACACAGATTTTAATGATCTTCTGTGGGGGAGGAGAGGTTATAAGACCCATTTTTGGAGCCATCCCAAAGGTTGTCTGGCACTTTGTATAGAAAGATTGGTTTTATTCTCTTGCTAGAGTAGGTTACAGAAAGATGTAAAGTTGATTGACGTGAGGTAGGACTGAGGTGAGGGAAGTGGCTGGGGCAGATGGGCAGAGCTTGGGCACAGACTCAAGTTCTCAGCAACAGAGGTTGTGGTTCTGGGCCACTTCTGGGTGGTGAGGGTGACCTGAGTCTTCAGGATGAGTGGATGTGCTGTGGTGGTCTGCCCAGGCACCAGCTCACTGCTATGGACCCACAGCTGGGTCTTTCTGGGCCCTCTCAATGGAGTCACCATTGACATTTCCTGCTGATGTGGACACCCAGGATGGTGGGAGGGGTGGTCTCAGCCAAGTCAGTGTGCCCTGTCATGGCCCTTGACATGCAGACTATATTGAGGCCTTTCCAGATCATGGGCACTGTGGGTTGGAGCTCCTATAGCTGATGAGGAAGACTAAGAGGGATTCCCTTTCACCTCATGGGAATGTTCTCCGTGGATGCTGTTTGGTGCCTATGGCATCTTCATCCCCACCAGCTTGAAGCCCCTCCTCTTAAAATGTTGGATCACAGCAATTCCACTTCTAGGAATCTACCCAAAGGGCACATATAAAACTATTTCAAAAGGAAAGCTTCACTCCTATGTTTCTTGCAGCACTATTTAAAAGAGTTCAGATATGGAAACAACCTAAGTACCCCCAAATAGATGACTGGATCAAGAAGATGTGTTATATATACACAGTGGAATATTACTTAGTGGTCAAAACAGATAAATTCATACTCGTTATGGCAACATGGATGGAGCTGGAAGGGTTTATGCTAAGTGAAATAAGTCTGAAGGAAAAAGAAAAATATTGGTTTCACTTATATGTGGAATACAGAGAAATTGAAGTGTCAGGAAAGAAGACCAAATAAGCAAGATGATCATAGAGCTGATGTACACAGCGGGGGAGGGACAGGGGTCAAAACTGGGAGGCAACAGCACAAGGAACTGTGGCGATGGTTAGTGGGTGCTGTGGTGGTGGGAGAATTACAGGCACTACAGTTGAGGGAGAAATCAACTGTGGTACAAAAATGAACAAAAATGTAAGAAAATAAATTTAATAGAATGAGAAAAATGCTGGGTCGCATCCCAGTTAGCCAAGGCTGCATCCCTCTTGGCTCCACCATGACCAGGGCCAGGGGCCCTTCCTGAGCTGGGTGGGAGCAGGTTCTGGCGGGGCCTTCCAGGCTGCCCAGCATCCCCAGGGGCACCCAGCGCCATGAAAGGCTGCCCAGGATGCCAGCCTGTGGGCTGCTGGCTGAGCCTGGATAGAAATAACATCTTCTTCTCTAATTTCTCTTCCTTGAATATCTTATAAGAATTACTTTACTATATTGGAGTTAAATGGGTGCTGTGGGGACGCCTGATTTCTTTTCCTTTATAAGTGATTTGGTCTTTGTGCTTTGCTCAAAGAATACTTTATCTTTAAAATTTAATAATTTTACTGGAATATGTCTCACTTATGACCATTTGGAGTCAGTTTTCCCTAGTACATGATTTGTCCTTTCAATATGTAAATTCAAGTCTTCTTCAGGGAAGTGTTCTTGAATTATATTTAAATTTTATAAATTATATTTATTCTGCCTCATAGTATTGGTTTGCTTCTTTGGAGCCAACACACACACACACACACACACACACACACACACACACACGCACACAGACTTTCCTTTCTCCATCTCACTTGTGAGAACCTGCTGTTTTATCTGCAGTGTTCTTTCCTTGTCCACTTACCTCCTCCTCTGCTCCTGAAGCGGTGGTCCATTTCCTTCCTGTGTGGCCTCCTGCATGGTCATTCCCACTCCCTCCCTAAGCTGCTTTACATGGGGCTTCAGTTTTCCCCTTTATTTCTCTGTTGGTCACTGCCACTTTAGTGATGGTCAGGCTTTTGTGCCTTTGGCCTCTGCGGTTATCCCCTGAGGTCTCAAATGTGCTGATGTAGCAGGCACTTGGGGCATCTGTGCCTGATGGTGGACACCGGGGTAAGGTGTGGGCGTACACAGGGTGGCGCTGTAAGGACAGCAGAAGGGCTGCAGGAGAATGCCAGAGGGAGCCCAAAGAGAAAGAGAAGATTTGGTGGGGGCCTGGAGGCCTCCCCCTGCCTGCCCTGCATCTGGTTGCTGACCTGCAATTGGCGAAGAAATATCATTAAAGCCTGAAAAAGGCTCTGAAGGCTCCAAGACTTCTTTACGTATCTCCAGAATCAGCTGAGAACCTGCCCCATGCCTGGTGGTCCAGCAGCCGCAAAAGGACATTCCCTGCCTGCAAATGCCTATTTGTGCTTCTGGGCAGTCATTCCTGGACCCGCGTCGGGACACTTTGGCTCCTCCCCTCTGTTCTTAGCCTGCTCACAGAAATCCCCACTTAGCGTAGTGTCCTCTCCACCAGGAAGACGCTTTCTGTGGGTGATCTGAGGTCTGCTAGCTAGCAAGGCCCTGCTTCTTCCTGGCTCCTCCCATCTCCGCCCTTAAGAAGAGTCTTAGAGGATTCAGCTGGTCATGCCTGCTTTGGGGATTATTGAAAAGTACCTTGGAATTTGTGGATCTTTTCTGTTTTTATTTAATTTGACATGGTGCTTCTGTTCTTTCTTCTTTATCTCCTTTGTTCTCCTTGTTGCTCTATGTGGTTTTCAAAAGACAGAAGTCCCAAATAGAATAAAATTATATAATAGTTTAAGAAAACCTCCCTAGGTTTCTATACAAAGTGTCTGAAGTGGAGAATGGTGATTGTAAAGAAAAAGACTGGAAAGATAAACACAAAATCCAGGGATATGGTGATCCTTGGATATGAGAGGCAGAGAAAGAAAACTCCAATAGTATTGATAATATTTTATTTCTTAAATTAGTTATTAGGTTCTGGGTAATTGCATTATTTTTTTTTACCATTTATCACAGGATTAACATCTTTTCAATAAAAATAAACAAAATCTTTTAAACATTCATTGGAAATTTTTTACTTTAGTGATTTGAATACAATTTGTATTAATATGACTGAACAGATGGATGACAGAAAAGCAGGTCCATGTGGGGAACCAAAGAGCCAACTTTGTACTTTCCTTATTCCCAGGCAGATGAAAAGACCTTAGAAAGTCTGCTTAGATTTGAGTGTTCTTTTCATAAAGATGTATATGTGTACACGCACGCGTACGTACACACACACACACACACACACACACATTTTGGTGGTTTTAACTGGAATATAAGGATGATCAGATGACGACTTCCCACCCTGCATTCGTCCTGTTTGGCTGGCACCAGGAGAGCTGCGGTGGTTATCAGAGCTCTGGGTAATAACTAGCGCTCTTTGTCTCCAGCCTTGACTCAACTGCTGGGACTGAAGATTCCTTTCTGCCTTTCACTCCTTTCTCAAAGGACTGAAGATGCGCTCCCCGGGACAGAATCAGAAGGTCCATGACAACGATAGTAACAGCAATAATAATAACACACTTTAATTTTACATATACAGGCATAGCAGTTTTGATATAAAGGGAAGTAATATGTGAATCATATCTAGCAGGCCTCATTCTTTAAATGAAATCAAAAGATTCCAGTATATCTTTGTAGAGATGTATACAAATATCTTTTGTTGAGGGACAGAAAAATTCAGGAAAATAAACATGTTCATCACGGCAAATGGGTTAGTCTGAGAAGGGTTGAGCAGACGAGTTTCATTTCCTACTTTAATAATTCAAAAAGCGATGGTGGGTCATACATGATTTAACTTTATTGTTTTAAAAGTAATTTTCAAATAAAAATTCAAAAGCAAACAACTGCTTCTCGGGTGCGTGCCAGCATCCCCAGCTGGGGCATTTGTCTGTAGCTCCCACCTTGAAGTGAGCTCCTGCTCCTTCCCTGAGGGCTGAGGCGGCCTTGGTGACTGTTTCTGCCAGAAGATATTATCTTAGTGTGTGAGGGAAGGCTGGACAGTTAGGACCCAAGTCCCCAACTCCATTTCTCTAGGACATCCTGGTGGCTTCCTTGAGAACTCAAGTTTCCTAATCCCAGCTTCCTTTCCCCAACTCAGGTTTTTGTTTCCAAAAGTGACAACAGGAATGTGACATAATCAGTTAAATATGTTAGGCTTTTTTTTTTTTTAAGATTTATTTACACATACAAAACTGGGGTACAGGCCAGAGGTGCAAGGGCAGTGAGAGGATTCACCAGAGACAGAGTGGGGAGCAGAACAGTTAGACTGATGAAGTACACTGCAGAGGGGAGCAGCGGGTGGGCCAGGAGAGTTCTACCGCACCATGTGGGTCACCTCCGAGGCCGGATTGAGCTCATGCTAAAGTGGCTTTGGCCTCTTAGTGCTGTGCTTTAACCCACTGCACCAATAGGGAGAGCCCAAAATATGTTAAGCTTTTTAACTTAAAAAAAGTTCAAAGAAAGAGACGACCTTTCTCCATCTATGGAAGCTGTGTTTGGGGGACGCTCTGGGTTTGTGAGCAGGGGTCCTAACTTGGGGTTGTTCATCCCAGCTCCCATGCTTCTTGTCTGGGCTAGGGTATGTCTCACTGGGAGAGAAAAGAAATGGGATGGCTGGGTCACCACAATGAGCAGGAAGCTGAGGCTGCCTTGAACCTAGGAAGTTCTGCTTCCCCTAGGCCCTGAACTTGTTCACTGCACACACCGGTAACTGAGTCTGAATCTGGGGGATGGTGGTATGTCCTGCTCACATCAGAAATCCCAATGTGGCTGCAGTTGAAAAGAAAACAACAGACCCCCAACAGTCACGCATGCTATGTTCACTAAGACTTACTACCTACCCTCTCTGCAGTTTCAACCACCCCTAGGAATGCAGTCTTACTTGGTCAGTGTAGTTTTCTGGTTGGCTTCAATGAGCTAATCTTTTCCATTCCTCACTGGAAAATGAGAGAAACATTCACAAAACCTTTTCCCTTTCTCAATAGTTGGGCGACCCTGGCCTTAAATAATCCCTGCTCCCTATTCCACTGACAAAACTTTTCCTTTTGCACAGCTTCTCAGAGCATCTTTCTACTTGCCAGACTGGATACTGCTTAATTCATGAATCATTTATTAGATTTTTAAAACTAACGTTTAGATTTTGGATTTTTTGTAAACACTGACAATTAGCAGGCTATAATTGTGGGGGTGGTGGAGCTTTCTATCAATATATAGACATACACCATCATTTCCAAAAAGTTTTCCAAAATCTCAAACTTGCCACTTTAAAAAAAAAAGAACTAGGTTTTTTTCTTTCATTTATAGCAAAACTCCAGAGACATCTCCTTGGCAGACAAGGCTCTATTGCTTCTACAAATAGAGTTCATTATTTTGTCAAAGTGAATTAAAATAGAATGTCACTTACTGAATGTCACATTTCTGGATCTGACATTGTATATAAAAGGTCCTTTAAAAAAAGAAGAGAAAATCTGAAAGACTGGGTTGGAAACCCACTTGAAGAAAAAGAAATATAGGCATTAAAAAAATCCCATTTGGGCTTCATAAAATTCCTTTCAAATGTGACAGTCTGGTAGAAATCAAGTAGTTTTCAGTTCCTAAAATACAATTTTGATTAAAAATTTATAAAGCTATTTGGAGGAAAGATACTACACAAATTGAGAATAAGTCTTACGGATCCCTTAGAGGGAAGCAGGGAAATTTCCACATCCGAGTGGTACACAGTATTAGCTCCGTGCAACCGATCACCTTTGCAGTTCTTGGAGTGAAGCTCTCCTGGCGTTCTAGTGGTTTATGCCTGGGCCTGCTAAGGATGACCAGAGGTACCAGAGGGTGAGGCGCCTGGCTTTAACCCAGGCGGGCGGGGTGACCCTGCGGGCCACACTCCAGGACACAAGGGTCCAGATCCTCCTGGAAAACCATCCTCTCCATCTTCAGGTGACAGGTAGAGAGAGTCAGGGAAGATGAAAGATGTTTTTTCTTCTCTTCTGCCCACATGAATAATTCCTTCCTAGAGCACAGCATTCATTCATGAAGGTCTGAGATTAGAGTGAATTCGAAATTATGAAAACACGCACTCCTTTCCACTCATGCTCTTTCTTCCTTACCTCCGCCCTTCTTGTCCCTCACTCAAGATTTTTCCCTCACCTCCTAGTGGAAAGAAGTATCTATTCTGGGCTCCCCAATTAGATGTATGAGTCTCTACTGTGGGTCCTAAAACATCGTAATGTAATTATATATTTGAATGACTCTGTTAGATTGAGTTCTTCAAGAGGAAGGGTTTTTTCCTGATGAATCCCTTGAACCCTCTAAAGAAGCATCAAGAAGTATGGAAGAACTAAGATTGGCATAGCTGGACACCTTCTCAGTTCATTAACACTGGTGTGTTTCCTGGTCTATGTCACCCCCTGTGGTCTTCACTCCCCCCTGCACTGGACCTAGTTAGACATGCTGGTGATGAGGCTGGACATGCCACCAGACTCCCACGGACCATATCTCATCAGTGCTGGCTACCAAGTGTGGGAATATGAGCACAGGCCTCAGCTTGGCCATTTGTGAAATGGAGATAATCATATCTGTGGAGCGTTTGGTTTATTCATGATCTATTCATTCATATTTATTTTTCCATTCCTGAATTCATTTATTCAATTGCATTTTCTTTGATTCACTCATTCATGAATTTATTAATTTACCCATTTATGGGTCCATTAAGTAAACATTTATTCAACAAACCTTTCTTGAACACCTACTATGAGCTATGTACCAAACTGCATGTTAGGGATACACAACCCCATGACACTCTCACTCTGGCAGATTCTAGACCCAAGTCTCCTGCGTAGGGTACTCAGGTTCTGGGTGATTGACTTCTTTTCCAG